TTTCAGCATAGGCACCGGGTACTCGTCACCAGATTGCGCATCTTGCAGCAATAGAGGGACCATCACAGTGACCAAGTCATGTAGCATTAAGATGCCACCTAACGACGATAAGAAATGTGACAAGGACGAGTTCAATAAAACCAGCTGTGGTTACGTTACTATGGTCGATAAAATCTACAGCTGTGCTGACGTGAAAAAGAATTTCACGTTCTATGAGGAAAAATACTTGAAATCTGTAAAACAATGTGGTGACGTTTGTCCAACTTCCGGCTCAGGTTAGTCTGGTTTAACTCTAACAAAAATTGTTTTAAATCATTCATTTTACAACTGGGAGATGCTACCCTCAATTGCTTCAGCTGTTCTTTTGTCTCCAACAGACATTTCTGTTAAAGATCAACAAACTTTAATCATCACAATTTTAAAACTTTGAGAGGCATGAAGCTCAAGCACCTCGGAGAAAATCCAATTTTCCATAACAACTTGTGCAAGAGAGGAAGAGAGGACCCTGAGAACGAGATTGAAACACGCCGTACATCTTAACGGCCATGTTAGATGACGTCCCGTCTCCTATCCCATGATAGGTCAGTCCTTCCCCGCACTGCACCACAAGTAACCCAGCTTCTCGAGTCTCAGAGCTAAGTAGGACTGGAATATGGCATGTAATTTAAGAAAAGCACCAAATTTTTCATTTTTTTTGCAGATTATTGCAGACTCTGTGATCCACCGACCTTGAAAAAGCTGTATTTGCCAACAAGATAAATCAACTCCATTTCAGTTTTCAGAAGTAAAGCCGTAGAAAAAGCGGTATAATGGTATTCGATAGAGGCTTAGTAAATACAAGGCAAGTGTTTTTGTAAGAAATGTTAATGCGGAAAGTTAAGTATTTCAGTAGAAGGAATAAAAAGTACTATTGACATGAATAGAAACAGTGTGTTGATAGAGATGGTGTAATCAAATCATTTTATCGATGTTTATTTACTTGAAAACGACAATGTTAAGATATGTGACTTACGATTCACGTTATCTTCTTTATCAACTACGACCACAGAGTGAGGACAGCGGCAAAATGAGTGCGCATGCTCCGTTTCTGGAGCCATTGAGTGTTCAGGGTTACTGCTCTCCCTCTCCAAACAAAGCTGATGCGGGTTTCCCCGCTGAGACAACAATCCTTTTCTCCAAAGAGTTTTCCTTCTGAGGAGTCGATGACAAGAAGGGCTTAAGCAATAAAAAGTGCTACGAACTTCGTCGCCATGTTACAGATGCACTACTGCGGTCGCTAAATTTGCAGCTGTTACCGCAATATTTCTTTTGTTGAGTGAGATACGTGAAGGAGGAGGTTTGAAGGAAACTTTCCTGAAAACGGCAACTTTATCTGTTTTGGTTTGGGCCTATCCCCGCGAAATGAAACCAAACAATGAGAATTTCAAAATTGCCGCTGTTTTGCCACGATGGTGTTACTATCGAAATATTGACGTTCCCATTCCTTTACGCATATGAAATTTCTCGTGCGTTACAAGCATGCGCACTTATTTTGCCGCTGTGTATCATGGACTGTTTTTGCGTAGTTCAGCTGCTTTTGTTGTATTAAGGATACTCAGAAGTTTTGTAGAACGGTTCTACTTACTAAAGAAACTCGACTGTAAAACCTGGAGTGTGTCAATTTATCATTTAAAGAGCTAGTGTGAAGAGGACGAATTTAGGGAATCCTTGCTTCAGCTACCTATGAGCACTCGCCTTCTCCGAATTTAAGAAGAGCATCGGTAGAGAACCCATTTGTAGAGAACCCAAAAGAAAATAGAGACGATTAAAAATCACAAAAATGT